TGAGTTGAGTACATCCAATATTTGGAATTACGAATTATTGCGGTTATGAGAAAGATTTTACGAAAAATCTGAAACTCGCTGATTGGCTGATTATACAAAATGTTTGTATAAGTAGGCGAATCACGATTGAAAGCTTTTTAAGTTTTCAAATTATGCAAATTTGAAAACATAAAAACTAATATATATTCATATCATTTATGGAGTGGAATTTTAACATTTCATCGTAATAATTATTTTTGCTTGCGATATGTCGCTTTCCGGGAAACTCGCAAACTAACCCTAATTCTCTCAGGCTAAGTCAATTATCAAACTTACTTAAAACGTCTAGTAAAACTAGATCGAGTGTAAATAATGTTTTTCCTGAAAAATGAATGTTGAAATCACAATTTCCTCTGAAAATTGAATTGGTTTAATTATATCTTTGGCAGTGTCTGTGTGTTTTTGTGAAAACTGGGCAGTTGAATAGAAATAGTCAGGCTAAACATCTGTATTTCTGCTAAACCAAGTTAATAATTAATTTAAATTCAAAAAATATCTGGCTAACGAAATATGACTCTCTATGAGAAATTCGTTTTTTGCAACTAAGTTTGACTAAACGAAACTTATTCGCATATCGTTTTTTGTTACATAGTTTCAACATGTCAGGTACCAGTAGCTATATGAGTTTTAAACCTGAAAAACATTGCAATTTCTATTTAAAAGCGTTTCGTATCTGTAAACCGATCATTTGTTTCCATCGATTTCTAATCAACGGCGAAACCCAACTAAATATATCGATTTATGTTACAGACTAACAAGAAATTGAATGTAAAATCCATCTCAATAGGGAAGCTCAAACATGATAATATTTTGGCACTTCAGTCTTATGAAGGCGTTTCCAATAATATCATATGGCCCGTTTTCCCAAACTACCCCAGTTCCCTATCTGTTACAACTATTACGATTACGTATTATTACCTTAATGTAGCAGCATGCCAAAAGCGAAATAAATTGTTAGACATTAAACGTACGCCTTTATACGTTTCAATTTGCAACAGCATTGGTATGAGATATAAAAATAAATGGAATATTTCAAATACGACCGTTTATAGCAGCAGCTTTGGCTGAAATCTGAAGAATGCTGCTTGGTAATAAGTTACGCCTCTTTTATGCAGTTAAAAATGGATATTTACAGAAAAAGATTGACATAACTTTAGTTAAATATAACGTTGTAAAATAAATCAAGCCAGTAACGTGAGAACATGTCGTTTTTAGGCCTAGTGGAGTGGTTACTTTTTAATTACTTTGACTTTGTGGATTGTTCAGCTGAAATTGAGTGTCCCCTTTCTTATTGGAGATGGGTCTGTTTATGAGAAGGAAAATAGAAAATCTGCCACTCGCACTAGTATTTTTTTAGTGAATATTCAAATTTAGAAGATTGATATCATAATTCTTATACAAACCAGATTTCTGCAGTTGCCAGGTGGTTCCTAACATCAAGAATACTTTTTCAAAAAACAGCAACTACGTTAGCAATAAATTGTATTCATCATTTACATTTAAAGCTTTAACACGTGAGCGTATTTACTATCTCATTAGATTCTGGAATGCATTTTAATGAATATCAGGATTTTTAATTAATATAATTTGCATTTGCTTTATTCTTCATTTTAAATTAGTTATTATTAAACGCCTAAAGTAAGGCGATTATTTATCACTAAACAAAAAAAGTGCATTTGAAAATTAATTTCATGTTACATTTATTGGGTGACCAGTGCAGTTTGGTAGCTTTTTAATATTGGATTTATCCAAGGAGCAATGTTTCACTCTAAAAGTACTAATTCACTATTTATTTCCCATTTTTTTCTGGGGTTGGTACCTTTAAATTTATTATTCGTACACAGAAATCCGAGCTTATTTCTCACGCCCTTCTCAAATTCCTCTTCCAATACTACTTCCAAAAGGCATCAGGTATTATTAAAACAACCTATCCCCACACCTACATGTTTAGTAGTACAATGCATTGTCATTCGGCTTATTCACGGCAACAATATAGGGCGTTGGCTAAAAGTAGATAATATAGATCTACATAAAGGGGGGCTTGAACTTGATATGTTCTTATTGAGAAGATTATTGACAATCGTTGTTTTTTTATCAACTTTGAGACATTACAATAAAATTAGCTCAATCATTTTCTTTAAAGTGGTTTCCAAAGGTAGCAGATGGGAAGTTATCATTTTTTTCAAACAGACTTTTGCTTCTCAGGAAATGTGTAGACGCTGATAGTAGCTATTTATGAATATCCTCTTTTAGGAAATGTAAAACATTAATATGTTTCGTAGGAAAGTTACCAAAGTGGATGATGGTTTTTTTTGGTGGCCAAATTAAGCATTATTAGTTATTATGTATGCCGTAGTTTCTAAATATACATAAACCGTTACGTGTACGTTTATTAAAACTTGTCATTAATTTAATTAATTAATTTAAATACTTTTTTCCTGTCAGGTAATCAATTATTTTCTCTAATAGATTTTTGTGATTTGCAATGGGGTTAAAGCAATTAAATAAAGTCGCACTTTCTTGCAATAGCTCGTGTTTTGCACATTTAAATTGACAATTAGTTTAAGGTACTTTTGAACGAATTTTTCTTAGAATACTCAAGGGATTGTTTTCCTTTTTCTACCTGTCTGTTGCCCTTTTGCCTCTTATTACCTCAAATCGTGTTGCTATTTTCTCATCGAACGATGTTTCATAATTTTATATTATTTTTATATTGTGTTTTATGAAAGATGGCCTTTATGAGTAACATAACGGAACTGAACACTAATTATTAATTATTCTTCTGTAAATAAATAAAATACATCAAATATTCATTTATTTTTTCATTAACCAGTATTTTTCAAAGTCTCTAGTTTGGGTCTGCGAAATATGTTACGTGCTTTATGGGCTTTTGAGATTTTTTTTTATACTTGGCAGTTGTGTTCAATATTATTCATATCCTGTTTGCTGATGAGTTCTACTAATATTTGAGAAAACTTGCTCTACATTATTTACATTGCTTACAGTTGCTGAAAGAATTCGTTTATGACCACAGATAAAATAACGATTTAAGCGCTTATGATGGCAAGCATAATGTTAGTTTAACCTGAATCGCATTAGTTAAGCATTTTGTGGATTATACACATATTTTTGTGCGTTTGCACAAACAACAAAAATGCCCAACCAATTTCAAATCAAATTTAACTTTTCAAAAATACTAGTAGCACCAATAACAGAATATAGCAAAAGTACTATTTTAAGCAATGAAAATAACACCTTATTAAATGGCCTGAAAAAATTGACAGGTAAACATATCTATAAGTAACTAATGATGAGAGCAGAATGTGTATGAAGTCGGATATCAAATTACCAACACTATGGGGGGTTCATATTTTCAACTTACTGATGACATAAATTTTCAAAGGGACATGAAACCAGATCTGATTACATCTTTTTTACGAGCTTTTTACTACTTTAATTTGGCAGGTCCAATGAAACAATGGTGTAAAATATTTCAATAATTTATTTTTATTAGATTACAGCTAAATGATAATAATATCAAGCTATATCTAAAACTATAAATATTTTTCTTTGGTTTTCATTTAGAAAATAACATATCCAGTCGTCAAATGAGAAGATAAAAGAAGGGAGTCTAAAGACGTGCCATTGATATTGGTATTCACAGATAAAATTACCCCATTGTCCAATACTGGATAAACTATGCATACCAATAATTGGCCAGCATTAAAAGAAACTAATCCAACTAAATACGCTACTTGCGCATAATTTCACTAACATCAATTGCTAGTTCTTTCCTAAAAGTAAGTAGAACTGGCGTTATTATTGTCTACACTTTAAACTTTTCGGACAGTTTTCTTTACAAAACTGAAAATTAAAAATAAAATTTGCGATATGTTTGTATACATCGACAGTGTTTCTCACAGATAATTTTATATAGATATTATTTGATACATGTTTATACGTCTAATTGTATATCGAAGTACGGCAATTTGAAACGATTTTATGTTCATAAAAGTAGTTCATGGATTATATTATTCATTTATAGTCGATTCACATGACCCATATTGGTTTGAATGCAACGTAAGTATTATTGGGCATTTATATGAGTATCGGTTTATTGTGACATAACCAGCCATTGTGTATTGATTGAAATGTTTCAAGCAGGGGTCATTTTCTATTCACCGATAATTGATTTAACTCAATTTCTCAAAAATCTATTTCTGTATTCACATATTAATTGAATAATTGAAATAACATGTACAACTTCTCGAAGTGATTTGATTTCGCATATAATTCGTTCCGTTTACAATCAGTGATGCAGTAGTAAAAGGCAAATTAATAATTCACATAAAACATTAGTAAAACAATTTAACTAAACGGAGAAAACTGATCAAATAATTGAAACAAAAATAAAAGCCAGATTTTTTACATTTAGCCTTGAATAAAATTACGAGAATACTTCAAACTTGCACCTAAAATATTCTCTAGCACCATAATAATTTAAAATTTTAAATATGCGACCTCTAAGCAAACAGAAAGATACTGTCAACCTCATTGAAAGAAGCATTGGTTGTGTTTGTGTTCTTTATTAATACAGTTGATATTTTCAGTAAATATTCTTGCCATCCGAGACCCGAAAGAGGGTAGCAGACTTATTTGTTCATTCAACGCAAGAAAAACATGTAATTTTGTTTTGTTATACCCGACTTGATATCAAATTTTAAACCAAAATAAATTGTTTAAGAAACCTGAGACAAATTAAAGAAACTCGACTCAATGCTCTACAAAACTAACTAGAATGCAAATTGAAAACGAAAACAACTGGATTAATTGCGTTCACAATTTAACCGTCTTATTTTTTGGTGCAGTCATAAATTCGTAAACTTGTTGGTTACCCTGAAACATTTCTTTGTACTCAAAATGTGTCTTGGTGGCGAATATGCAATAAAACCGTGTGTTAGTATCGTTTAATATTTTTTATTCAGAACAGTAAGTTTGGGTCATTCAGTTTTGATTAGCATAATTAAACAACATAAGTAGCTATCGCACAGTAAATTCATTTGCACCTGAATTGAAAATGTTTGGGAAATTCAATCAGATTTTTATAATTTTTTTTATATTAATTATTTATTATATGCCATCACAATGAATATTTATTGAATTGCGAACAAAATAATTAGTATGTCAACGAGGAAAAATTTTCCTTTACAGATACATATAAAGACATTGTACGAATTGATATATGTAATCAGAAACAAGTAACATCAAAAAACAAGACTTATATTACATCACATCGATAGCCAAATGACATTCACAAAATAAGAAACAAATGTTTCCATTCATAAAATATAGTTTATTTGTGCGACCAATATATTTTTTCGCGCTTCTTGTTTCCGTTAATCGCTATTATTTAATTTTCAAGTTAGAAATAGTTATGAGATTTACTGTGCCAACGAAGCTTTGAAAAATAGCAAAAATCGCTTTGCAAATCTAATTGGTAAATTTTAATAGTAAAAATTTCATTATTTTCAACAACAGTATCATAGAAAAGTACCCTAAAGAACAATTTAGCTACCTATTAAACATTTAAAGCCAAACGAGAAGTTTGGTATATATTTGCAATTAGATATGAGTGAATCGTATATTTTAACATCCAATATTTGTTATGGATAAAGGTACCATCGTGAAGTATTTTTCGATGTTTAATAAAACAACCGGGTAGACTGAAAGTCCATGTAAATTAAATCATAAATTTCTCATGGTATATGCGATTCATTCATACCTCGATCAATGAATTGGAATAATCAAGTTGTACAGGATTCAAAATTCATAGAATTTATCCATCAGTTTCTTGAAGAATGTACAAGAAAATAGTTCATAAACATGCACAGTTATAACTGAAACTTAACAGAAAATCACCAAATAACAAAAGTATTGCACTGAAAATTTGTATTTAAAATGAATTTCATATTGAAAATGTAGATAAAATACATTGACGCCCTAGTGGCAAAATAGTCGGAGATTATAGCAAATTACTAGTTTTTTAATATTAATACTTCCTGAACGTTTAATGGTTAAATACAGTGTAGCAAAATGCATTATTTATCAGTTAAAGTTTAATTTGCTACAATCTTTACAAGTAACTATGAACAACCTAACATTTTTACAGTTTTTATTTACAGTAGTTTATAGCCAAACTCTAAATTACGACAGTAACTATTTACAAACGTTTGTTCACAGTGTTTAAGATACATTCACTTTATACATCAGGAACATTTTTTTAAGCGTGGAATGTCAGTTTTTTTTAAATCTATACTTGAAATAAATATTTTGATGAAAACGGATGGAAATCAACACATCCAAAATGCAACTCATCCATTATTGAGGCCGGTTGCTGGAAAAATACAGAGACAATGTTGCCGAATAAACATTGAGTTTATTTCAAGTATATCAAACGTCCAAATACAACTACATAGTTTATATTATTATTGTGTATCGAATATTTATACTAAACGTGGTTGTAAAAATAGGTTAGTCTAGAGCTCTATGTATAATTTAGTATACTCTTGGCTGTATTCAGGTCCGACATCTTCAGAGAAAGACAGATGAATCATAAGAAGTGCTTTTGGGAATAGTTACTTACGATGATCGAATGATGGGGGTTTTTGGATTTGAGGAAGCCGATGTTGGTGCTCTGAAAAGAAAGAACGTTTTATAAATTCTGAAAGTAACAAAGTTGATGATTTGTTTCAATAGTTAAACTTATAAATTAAACAGTATTCGTGTTCAAATAATCACGGATTGAGTACGTGAAACTGGCTAAACTGAACTCTAATAAAATTGACTGATCTAATAAATAAAAGTTCGAACTTGATTTAGGAAATAACATTTAATTTAAACTTTTCTGGTACCATTTGAAGAATTTAAGGTCTGTAAGACGTTATAGGCAGCTTAAAACAAATCTGATTTCTGGCATTTCGAATGCGAATTATTTGTAACATCAACATTAAACACACCGATAATGTGTCACGTTTGTTACATTTTGCCTAACATAAGACAACAATTTCATACATTTTCCATCGTGTAGTTTTCGCCTCCTTACTCTTATATTACATTATTGAGTAAATTTATGTTTGAAAACAATCAAACTCTCAACGTGGCTGGTAGTTGATTAAAGTCTGAAATGAAGATGGGCTTATGGGTGGTATGGAACCGACATAAATTTGACTACATTATTTCCTTATTTAATCAAAAATTGTAAGTTTCAATTCCCAGAAACAACTAAGAAAATAGCTGAAATACATTTACAAAAGGCATCCAATTTTAAACCAATCCTGTTAATTCTGAGATAATTGTTTCGTTAAATAACACCTTGCCTTCAAAGAGGGCAAGGAAGTTAGCTTGTATATTTATTAGTTTAACTATTTAACACAAAACGCATGAGTAAATATTATTATGCAAGAGGATGCACTAAAAGTGAGAATCAATTAAGCATCCTTTTATTTATTGAGGAAACAACGCTTTAAGCGTACGTTTCCCTACCATATTCCCCCCATTTTGAACAGCATAAAAATTCGACAGTTCAATTAATGCTGTAACGAGTTAGTGTTTATAATTATTCATCTTTTATATTTCAAAACATTATTATTCAGTCAGTATGCAAGGATGAAGCATTAACATTGGCAGATGTCGTTGGAGAGTTGTTAAAATATGCTCAAAGTTACCTCGAGCTGGTTGTTACACAATTAAAATAAGCCCAATGCTTTAAGGTTTGCTCACAATAAACGTGGCACTTTAATTATTACCCAATAATATATTATCCAACCGGCGTGTAATGAGGATTGTTAATCATTCGAATGAATTTGGGAAATTGGCTAAAAGCTAAAGGGCTCCTGTTCATTCGAATAATTTATATCATTTGTCAGCTTATATTGAATATCGTTCCAGAATTGATATCAACGTTTCCCTAGTTATAGCCTATGATGATAAAAACAGTTTTTTTTAACTCATCATTGCCGATGCAAATGGTAAATCAGTTACGAGAGCGAATGCTGAGTGTGCTTGAGACATAATATACTCAAACTGGAAATGTATGTCAATATGTAACAGATTTCTCCAATTTGAATTTTCGACAAGCCAGTTCCAGTTAAACAAACATCCACATGCGGGTTCGAATGTATATAGGCAACCCATAGGTTTCTAATTTAATTTTATGCTAAATAATTTCCATTGTTAAAGCATGCCGGTAGACTAAACACAATAGAACACCAATAACTGTTGTTTGTGGTAGAAAAGTGCCAATTACACAGACAAAGATCACAAAATTTGAATTACCAAAAGTGAGTAGAAATAAGTGGATTTTATGAGGCTATTGACTGGTTTAGTAAATCATCTTGAACGAATTTGCATTGTAACGTTCTAACGATTTTATAGTAGGTATCAATAGATACTTTTTACATAGTGTGCTGCTGGCTTCTTCTAATTTGATTAAGCTCTTTAACTCTAAAGATTCTTTAGGCGAATTTTGCAAATTGTTTACCGATAATTTAAGATTTATAAAATTTATCTCAGCACTTTACAGATCCTGTGGGAACGGATGGATTAACTCTTCCAGGCAACAAATATGTAAGCGAACAAACAGGAAATAAACTTACTATATTACATAAAGAATTCTGGCTGTTTAGAAGGTTTTAAATTACTTCCTACTAATGTTTTTGGAGAATATCTAAATCAACTAATGCAGTTAGTGAAATATTATATCAAATTAAGAAATAAAAGACGAAACCTGAATAAAACCACACACTTTTTTTATTAACCAACATCACCCATCATTTTATTATTGGTAATAATGTTGTTAAATTGAAATTGATATAGAAATTCGGGATTGTTAGAAACTCCCATAACGAAGAAATTTCCTTTAAGTATATCCGATAATAAGAAAATTATATGGTTGGGACGAGAAATGGGTTCAACGAGTACTTTTACAATGTGCGAATTTTACAATAGCTTTCTCAACTGAATAATATATACATTTTTTTCTGCTACTAACGATAGGAATGAATTGTCATTAGAAATTGTTCTTCGCTATTTCCGGCTAATAAAAATCCATTACTGGCCTAGATCAATAACAGTAAAAGTTTCGACAAATGAGTAAAAAATTTAATGAATATTCTCTCAACTTCGTCTTACATTTTCGGAGAAATTATTGGAAAAATATATTCATCACTGTCCGATTCTAATTGTTCTTGCTTGCATTTAAGTTAATAATAATAGTCTTCTCTCCATTTGTTTCATTAAGAGAACAGAATTTGCTTCTTTATTATTTTATATCCTATTTCTTTATAACCGTTATTTCTGTGCCGCGAGAAATAATTCGCACCAGAAAAAATGATTCATGAATTATGAAAAGTGCATTTTAATTTGAGAATATGTTTCAAATTATTTAATTTATTTATATAACTATATGTACCTATGTACTTAGTTCGTTTGTTATGTTCAGATAATACCTGAAGGCAAAATCTGAAATTTAGAAATGCTTCATAATCCTTGAGTTTGAGTTTCAAAATTCCGATAAGTATTTGATATATGTACCAACTTTTCATTTAGCAAGTTTGAGTTAGACATATCATCAGAACTTTTCTGCCTAGGAAAATATTTAAAACTTTGAATTAATTTTGAATCAACACAATGTGTTTCCTCGAAAAGCAACATTTTATTGGCATTATTCTGGCCGAGTGTGTCCCGCTTGGAATACGTCAATAATGCTAGATGCAGAAAAAATTCATATCTACATTTCCTGCGGAAATACAATTCTATCATGAAATACAGTTTTCTACACACATATACATTGACCCTCTTGAAATAGTTCATTAATAATTTTAAAAAGTAATCAGAGTTTTGAAATACGTTTGACGCAAAATTCTTGTACACTTTGCACTAAACATAGGTACTTACATGAACCCAACAGATGTAGGTAATTAATTACCCATTCACTTCAAAGAGATTGGATGCAAGCAAATATTTTGAATGCAATTATTATGTATCATCATCATTAATAGAATAATCCCATTAAACTAGCACTTTCTGCACTGTGTAATTATGTAATTATATTTGTGTACATCTATTTTTGTATTAATTTTATTTATTATTATTCTATGTAGCAAATCTGATGTCCTACAACTGATTCTTTTCATCTGAATGTAGATCCGACTGTTACTTGCTAATCTGTGATACTTTTACAAATTCATTGGTCTGGTTTTGCGCACTTTTAACCCACATTGCTACTTAAGTTGTTATTTCGCACGCCATCACTTGTTGCCCCATTATACATATATGAAACTCATATTAAATGCCTGTCTGTTTTGGATCGTTTCGTCACGATTAGTCATAGACTTTATACTTTTGCCAGAAATAATTTAGGAGGAACGTTATTTGGGTTTTCCATGTGTGCAGAAGAATTTTAGTTACAAATGAAACTAATTGACAATGTTGAACTGTATTCCATTAATTTAATAAAAACGAGCGATGTTCAGCTTCTTTCTGATTCTTGTGTTAGGAAAGCAATTTATCGGTAATGTGATCATATGAAAATTTGACAAGAATTTTTCATAAGTTTATTTTCCTAATTTCAAAGTCAATCTGTTGAAGGAATCATTAAATCCCTTTAACCTTAAATAGTCAAGGACCCACATATTCATAAATATGATCAAAACGACGTAGAAATTAGTTCCATTTTAAACATCTGCAGTTTTAAATCGGTCAAAGCGAGAGATGAATGTTGAAGAGAACAACACTCTGCATATCGTTTTACGAATTTAACATGAAGTTATGCAATTTTGCACGCTACTGGTGTGCTCCGTATTCAATTTCACACGAAAATCTATAATGATGACCTACTTCATTGACACCATGACGCACCGGATTTAATTCGATAAATAAAGTTTATTGTTCAAAGATCCATATCGAAAAGTATAAACGGTTCAACTCCATCAGCTATGAATGATGTCCACTAATGAATCTAATAGGTTCAATGACTTTTGGGGTCAATTGCCAACTAAATTGCGAAATGCGAGTGCATTCCTGCATATTTTTCACTGATGTAGCTGAGACGATTCGTATTTACCAAAAGCACTCAGCTATTCAAAGACTTTTCGTGTTCAAATATTTAAAAAATAGTGCATCAAAGTCATAATGATGAACGATCTCTGCTGCCAGACAATAAACCACCTCCATATAAATATTAAGTTCTTTTTGAGCAGCATGCAACATGTTTTTTTACCGTACAAGGAAACCGCTAATCACGTTTTCATCATTTTTAACAATGGCAATGACCGCATTTTGATAGGTACCTTTTACGGTAGGTTCATTTGTTTAAGCAATTTAAAGCGTGGATGTACAATCTACTTTACATAGCGAATCAACCATGAAAATCCTCGGAATTACCCACCAGCAAGCAGCTGTCGCGAAACCACAGAGACGACAAAGTTCTCAAGATATTTTATGTTTAGTGAGCTTTAGATCTTTTCCATGTCCAATAGAATCTTGTGTTTGAAATAAGACTAAAAAAGACGTAACACTGCGGTGTTTAATTGCGTTTAAACATGGCATGGCTGGTAATAAAACATGTTCACAGTATAGGAGAAACACAGAATATTTTTTCCTTGAATCGCTATCTGTATCGTTCAAACTCAATAT